ATGATCGGATTTGGGAGGTTCAACAGTACAATTAAATCATTTAATGTGAAATCAGTGAAAGCTAAGTTCTAAGAGATGCAGTTGTGTGATTTATTTTTATTTTTTTTTGTTTTTTATTAAAACGTCTTTTGTATTCTTTAACTAGAGAAAATACACTTTATTTCAAGTTTGAATAACGTTGAGAATCACCCAAAAACTCTTGTTTGACTATCTTGTCAATAATCTTAGGTTGTTGCGATTATTAGAAGCTAATTATTTGTTATTAATTTTATATATTTATTTAATTTTCTACTCTATTTCATTTTCAGGTTCATTTTGATCATTATGCAAGTCTCTAATACTTTGCAATATTTCTAGTAATTGTTTACGAGTTTTTTGCTGTAATCCATGATACTTTGAATAGTCTGAAACGTCAAGAGAATCTAACAATGAATTAATAATTGTTATAAGTTCTTCTTTCTTCATATTTTCTTCATTCATGGCTGCTTTTTCCTCTTGAGCGGTAATAGGTATTGGCCGAGGTAAGGGGCCTGGTTTGTTATTCTCAAAAGTCTCATTAATAAATGCTATCCGTCTCTCACAAGCTAACTTGCTAAAATTTTTTAGTTGTTCACTAAGTAAATATTCCTCTCCAAGACTTTTAAATGCGCAATTATTGTTTTGAGGACTTAAAAACCTAGTTTTTCGTAATTGAACCCGAAATCGTTGGGATTCTGAAGTATAATCAGGACGTGCTCGGCTTCCTGATGACTCATTATCAGCATGCCCGATTATATTAAATAATATGTGACGCAGCTAATTAGAATTTTGAAAGTATAAACTGTAAATATAAACATAATCTTGTTTTTATTTTAAATTTAAATACATTTTATTAACCTTTATGAACTTTGTACAATTACGTGCTGCTATCCTCCAGTGTTTTTGTGAAGGTACGGGTGGAATTAAAGCCTTTAGGGACTTATTGATTTCTTCGAGAACGGCATCAAGGCCTTGGTGCTGGTTACTGTAGCCTGAACGTGAAATAACCGAATATAATTCTATGAGATTTTTAATCGTGGGATTCAATCTCATCAGTTGTTCTTCGTATGTTATCTCAATGAGACGGTATATAGGGTGTCTACGACCAGACCATATCAGTGCAAACATACGTCGAGCGGTACTTATCAACAATGGCCGATTGTTTCTAACTCCCATATGAAAGTTAATGATTGCCTGAAGGTAAATGAATGTCTACAATAATCATTAGTTAAGGATGTTATATTTATTAATTATTTATTATATTATTAAAATCTTACTTGTTCAAATTTTAGTTTATATATGTCATCCTCTTGTTTTTTTGCCCAATCCAGATAACTATCAACTGAAGGACTTTCGGTTTCAATTACATATGGCCATAATAATTCACACGTAGTAGCATGTCGATAAATATTGCATATAGAGTCCCACGATTTGTGATAGTCAGCACATTTTTTAAAAAACCCGAGCTGGCTTTCGGTTCTATATCCTTGAAGAGTAGCAAATTGCTTGATATCAATTACCTTTCAAGAAAAAACGTTAAGAAGGATTAAATTAAGAGGATAGGTATTTTCAAACAATGCATTATTTTTGTTAATTTAGTCAAAAAAAATTTACCAATTTAATTCTACGAATGATTTGAGCATATTCATTTCCTCATGCAAGGCTCTGGGAATCAGTATAAGCCATGGAAAGTCTTTCTTAATCTTCTGAACCAGATTATAAGGAACACCGTCGCAGGTAACCGGTATCCATTTTCGTGCCTCCTGGTTTATTTCTGCGATATTTTGTATATATTCTAAAACTTTTTTAACATTATTTATTGAATTAGGATTAAGTTCTAATGGATCCGGCACGTACATTTCGGGAATAATAACACCATGATCAGGCTCCGATTGTTGTGTAATACTAATACGCTCGAGATGGAGACTTTTTTGTTCATGAGTGTATATATAAGGCTTTATTACGAGGGGTTTAGTTTTGGAAGTCGGATTATTCATTTGAATAAGTTCGTTTGAAGATTCCGCTTATAAAGTGGCTAATGTATCTAACTTCTCATTACACTTAGGACAATTGCGCTTTCGATTATCGATGTTAGTTGTGTTGCATTTTTTACACCATTTTGACTGACTTCTGACGCCTTTTTGATTTCTTATAATTAGGTCGATAGTATTTATTTGTTCATTCTTTTCAGCAATAAGATCTTTTAAAATTGATGATAAGTATGATTTTAATTCTAATTCATATTCTGTTTTCATTTCTTGCGTAGGATAATATAATCCCGCATATTGTTTATTATTTAGTGAATCGTAAAGCCAGGGGGGGATTGAAAATTGAGCATGATTATTTTTATCCATGTTTAATGCAACAAAGCTTGTTATGGTATGATAAATGACCGTATTATATTCACGATCAAGATAATTATATTGACCTCGTTGCTCATTATCGAAGGCTAAAAATAAAAGCCCTTTGGGTAAGGATTCATTGTTATATGCCAACGATTCTAGCCAATTGATGAATTTTGTATAGCTTCCCGAGCTAACTATATGATTATCGATGTCAACAATTGTTTTAGAACGTGCTAGCGAATATTTTATTTCTGGTATAGCTAGATTTATTTCTGATACGTAGTTTTTATGTCTTGATCCATATATCGCGTTGATAGCAACTATTTTTTTAAAATTTTTTTCATTTAAAGTATAATTATTATAATTATCATTTTCATTATATGTAAGGGTATTAATAAAGTTAACAACAACCGGGTTGCGACTAGCTAACCAATTATTAGATGTAAAATTTAATAAATTATCAAGAGAAAATCGGTGTTGATCTAAAATTAATGACTCGATATCATTATATACTAATGGGCGTTTGTATTTTGCAATGTCAATTATAGATTCAATTCTTTTTTTTTGGCTATCGTGTCGATTTTCCCAATTACATTTTAATGTATTATTTTGTTCAGAAAGTTCTTTATTTATTTTATTTAATTCTTGAATAAGATCCCAACTCTCTACTACATAATTGTACGCATACTCTAATTGTTTTTTAAGATATTCGATTTCATTTGTTTTAGAATTTAATTGTGTTTGAAGTAAATGAACGTGATTTTCAAGAGATTGTAACATATTATCAGATACTTGTATACCAATATCATTGGTTTGTTTATTATTATTTTTTACTTCTGTTGCATAAGATTGTTCTATAGGTTCAATATCAAAATTGTAATTTACCAAATTTAAATTTAATAAATTTTGATACAAGTTATTAGATACAATAAGTTGGTTATAATGTCTTTCGCATAAAGAAAAACTATCTAATCGCGTTTGAATCTGATCTAACTCAGGAAAAAAAGTATTATATATTTGAAGACGGTTTTTTGTTGCTTCACTACTTGCATGCTGTTTAACTTGTGATTCTTTAATTTCGCATTCTTTTAATCCATATTTTTGATATAACGGAACTAAATTAGCAAAAACACAGGGCAGGTCTTTCGCTCGTGGCCGTTGGGAAGGGTTCACTAAAAAAAAATAAATAAATAAATAAATAAAATAATAAATAAAAATGAATGAACCTTAATATAATTAAACTTCTAAATGTAATCTCTAGAGCAGTATTGTCACTGGAAAACCTCCGGAAAACACTAGAAAGTATTACTAAAACTTTTCTACCAAAAAGCTCTAAAACCCACTATAAACAAAAAATTGACAACACAGCTCTAGAGCTTGAATCAGTTATCCGTTAGATATTGAATCTAATAGTAAAATCTGTCAATATCTGTTAAATTTAATATGAAAATGGAATAACGAATCTAAGCACTAGTAACCTCTCTAAATATACGCTTTGTGAAAAGTCTCTTTAAATGTTTTGATAATCTTCCTGAATGTACATATCACCCGGCTCAATATTATAGCACTTGTAAATTAACTTTCTTAAGTGCTCTCAATTAGATCTTCAGACATATGGCTCTGTCATCTTATATTTAGAGAGGTTTAACTTGTAAGAAGGTAGTCAAAATTGTTACTCACTTTTCTTATGGGAGAGTCTGTACTAACAAAAAAAAAAACAACAAAAACCTTCTTACTAAAGGTTGTGTAATGTCAGAACGGTTATAATAAGCGCGAAATAGTGGAAACAGCGTAAGATTACAAATGGAAGACGTCTACTTAGTTTTTAAAGAATAAGGTAGTGTTTTAGTAATTTAAAAGTAAACTATAATTTACCAATAGAAAATTTTTTAACCAGGACTGATTATGAATGATTTTTAATTGATTATGAAACTACATACTTCGAACTCCTTAGTTTTGCAACAGCTAGTTATATTTCAAGACTACTTCATGAAATATCGTTATGTGAAACATTAAAAAAAGCATTGAGAGGGTGCGGCGACCTAGTGAAGTGGTGGGGTTGCTGCACCCCCAAGCGGCAGGTCTAGAGTTCGAATCCCACGGACGACGATTT